AACCAGCACTGGTCTGAATTGGTCTTGTACACTTTACATCTCCAGATGTTTTGCTGGTCGTAGTTTTGGGTTTTAACAACCTTGAACTGTTTCGCTCTTCTGGGACATGTCTCGGGCACAGTACGATGGATCTAGCGATAGTTCAGGTGGTGATTAACAACCTGTGAATCTGAACTTGATCATTTATTATTAACACGTGACTCCAGTTAACATTCGGGGATCCGAGTTCAAATCCCACTGTGGCAGATGGTGGAATTTAAATTCAGTAACGTGTTTGGAATTGAGTCTGGTGATGGCCATGTCGATTGTCAGAAAGTCCCATTTGGTTCACTCATGCCTCTTTAGGAAAGGAAATCTGCCGAACTTACCTGGTCTGGTCTACATGTGACTCCAGACCCATGGCAACACGTCAAAGAGTCAGAGAGTTCTGAAGCACAGAAAAAAAAAGCCTTTCGGTCCATCGAGTCTACAGCAGTCAAAAACTACCACTTAATTATTTTAATCCCATTTTCCAGTACTTAGCTCATAGCCTTGGCACCACAAGTGCACATCTAAATACTTATTCAATGTGATGAGGGTTTCTGCCTCTCCAACCCTTACAGACAGCGAGTTCCAGATTTCCCACTGCCCTCTCAGTGAAAGTTTTTCCTCACAACCCCCTCTAAACTTCCTGCCCCTTACATTAAATCTTTGCCCATTGGCATCTATGTGGTTGACTTTAAACTACCCTCCGGGCAATTAGGGATGGGTAATAAATGCTGCCCTGCCCTGTGACACCCACACCTCATGAATGAATTTTTTAAAAAAGTTATTGAACCAAGCAAGACTCTGAACCAGTGAGCCTTTGAAGTTGAACTTTATTATCCAACAAATTACAGTCCTGGTTTGTAAGCTTTTTCTGGCACGTCGCTTTCACTCAGCAATCCCATCTTTATTAAAGTGCGGAACAGATATATTTATTTCCAGATAAAAAATTTGAAATCTCTGCCATTTTCTCTCGGAACATTACAAATTGGATAATCGGGTAACCCTATATCCTTGCGGTCAAGTATATTACAATTAAGCCTGTATTGTGAATTTTATGACTCATGAGTCAGAGGGTTGACGGGTTGACATGGAGAGATCCTATGCTTGGACTGTGTTTAGAGTCAACTGCAAAGTCAACTGTGCACTATTCATGAAGAAATCTCTGTAATTGTGGACTCTGAATCCAGCTCCTCAGCCGAGGCTAATGGCAGTTCAATTGTTAATGGTAATTATTTGATGGCATGAGAGATTTCCTACGTTCTCCTTCAGCTGTTCAAGCCAGTTAACCGCATAGCCCTTTGAACAAACATGTACTAAAAACCCAGCCAGCTCATCAAAGTAAATCCTTCCTGTATCCTAAATCTGATTGACACTATTTCCAGATGTCCAGTGTTGTGCAACATCCATGTTAGCAGATCCCTCTGCTAACTACTGCTCTCCACAACCTGTATTACTACAATAGCCACTATCAAGGGGATGTTAGTTAAGAATACAATAACAAAGAACAGAAGTAGGCCATTCAACCCCTCGAGCTTTCCCTTGCCATTTAATGCCATCTTGGCTGATCTCACCTCAGCTTCCAGTTTCCTGCCCACTCTCCATAACCCTGCAACCTGATACTAATTACAAACCTGCCTATCCCCCCTCTAAGTTTATTCCATGTCCCTGCATCCACCTCACCCAGGGAGGGAGACTTAACCACCCTTTGAGCGAAGTAGTTTCTCCCCATCTCTGTTTGAAATCTGACACCCCCCCCCACCGCATCCGAAAACTAGGATCTGTCGTTCTAGATTGCCCCACATGAGGAAACATCTGGTCTATGTTGACTTTGTCAATCCCCGTTGGAGTCTTGCATGCCTCAATTAAATCTGCTTTCATTCTTCTAAACCCCAGTGAGTATAGGCCTAAACTACTCAATCTCTCTTTTGTAAGACAAGGCCCTCATCTCTGGAATTAATCTAGTGAAAGTTCTCTGAACTGCCTCCAGTGCAATTACATGCTTCCATCCTTACAATAACTTGAAGTGGGATCTTCCTATCTAAGGCTGCCCTCCTGCTTACTTCTTCAATATTTCTGCCAGTGGACTGGACCAGCAACAAATGCCCTAAAGCTTTAGTCCACAAACTATTTTCTTTTAAGGAGGTTGGTTAGCTCAGTTGGTTGGATGGCTGGTGATGCCAATAGTGTAGGTTCAATTCCCACACTGGCTGAGCTTACCATAAAGAACTCTCCTTTTCGATGTCTCCCCTCACCTGAGGCGTGGTGACGCTCAGGTTGAATCACGACTATCATGTCTCTCATGAGAGAATAGTCCTATGGTCTGGTGGGACTAAAGTGACTTTACCTTTATTTTGTTTCACAATAAGCTAAATGGACAGAGCAACTTTTTTTTTCATTCAGGGGGTGAGGGCGTCGCTGGCCGGGCAGCATTTATTGCCCACCCCTAATTGCCCAGAGGGTAGTTAAGAGTCAACCACACTGCTGGGGGTCTGGAGTCACATGTAGGCCAGACCAGGTAAGGATGGCAGTTTCCTTCCCTAAAGGACACTAGTGAACCAGATGGGTTTTTCCGACAATCGAAAATGGATTCACAGTCATCATTAGATTCTTAATTCCAGATATTTTTCATTAAGTTCAAGTTCCACCATCTGCCATGGCGGGATTGGAACCCAGGTCCCCCAGAACATTCGATGAGTTTTTGGGTTAATAGTTTAGCAATAATACCACTAGGCCATTGGCTCCCCATCGTTATTACAATCCAATTCACTTCAGTAAATATAACTTTAGTTAACTTAAGTAATGATGCAAAATAAACAGCTCATCACATTTCTCCACAAAAACCAGTTTTTTCATTTGACATGTTGGGAAGTGATGGCGTTGTGTTCGTCTCACTGGTTCAGTAATCCAGAGGCCCAGCCTAATGCTCTGTGAATGCTCGAAATCTTAAAATAAAAACAAAAATTGCTGGAGAAACTCAGCAGGTCTGAGGAACAGTCATATGGGACTTGAAACATTAACTCTGTTTCTCTCTCCCCCAATGCTGCCAGACCTGCTGAGTTTCTCCAGCACTTTCTGTTTTCATTTAATGCCTTGGGAACATGGTTTCAATTTCCACTATTTCTGTTGGTAGAATTTAAATCCACTTTATGAATCTGGAATCACAAAGCTAGCCTGAAATGGTCTAGCAAGCCAATTGGAGGGCAGTTAAGATATTGCTGTGGGTCTGGATTCTCATGCAAGGTAAGGAGAGCGGATTTCCTTCCCGAAAAGACATTAGTGAACCAGATGGGTTTTTACGTGAATCGATAGTTGTTTTGATGACTGTTAACCAAAAGTGTTCTGGATTCATTGCTTGCCCGTGGTGGGATTTGAATCTGACACCCCAGAGTGTTAGTCTGGGCTCCTGGATGATTGCTCCATGACATCAGCGTATCCCGAGAGACTGGACAGGCTGAGGTTGTTTTCCTTAAAGCAGACAAGATTGAGGGAGCACGTGCTCGAGAAGTATAAAATTCCAAGGGGCAAATATAGAGTAGACAGGAAGGAACATTACCCTTTGATGGAGGGATCAATGACCAGGGGGCATCGATTGTAGATAAGGGGCAGGGGGGCTTAGAGGAGATGTGAGGGAAAACATTGTCACACAATGGGTAGTGGGAATCTGGAACTTGCTGCATGTAAGGGACATTGAAGAAGTATTTAGATGTACATTTGTGATGTCGTGGATGGGATGCTCTTTGGAAGGTCGGTTTGGACTCGATGGTGTGGATGGCCTACTTCTGCACAGTAGGGATTCTATGATAACTCTCTCTCCCTATCCCCTGTACACCCCAGTCCCTGCTCTCCCTGTATCTCTCTCCACGTCTTTATACCTCAACTCCCACGGTCTCATATTGCTCACTCCCCCTGCACATCTCAATACCCAATCTTCCATATCTCCCTCTGCACACCCCATACCCCACTCCCTCATGTGTCTCTTTGTCCCCTGCACATCCAAATTCCCACTCTCCCATATCTCCCTCCCCCTTTACATCCTAATCCTTGCTGTCCTATGTCTCTCTCCCCCTGCAGTCCCTCAGTCCCCACTCTCACAGTTCTCTCCCCCCAACTCTGTCTCTCTCACTCAGGGGTCACGACAATGCTTAAGCCTCAATATGGGATCATTGTGATGGGGAAATGGATTGGGAAACACTGCAGGGAGTGATACAGCACCGTTTGATCATGGTCTGGTCTTGTTATAGCCAAAGGGCGAGTAAAGGCCCTTATTGAATGTTGTGACGGTTAATGATGTTTGGAAATAAAAGTTGATGTTTCAGAACCGAGCTCAGCAGACTGTGAGGGCAACAAGAATACAACTCTCAGAATAGTTAACGGGAGCTGACAAGAGGATGTTGGCCAATGTTGGAACTCCATCCCAATGTTTAAGCCTTTTAAAGAAGTAATCGTAACCAGCACAATGTTGGGAACTAATAATCTGTAAAGTCATGCAACAGTCTGGTCCTCTTCCAATCATCATCGAATTGTAGATTTGCGAACGATTTGCCTGCACCAACCAGGTGGCACTGTGGCTCAGTGGTTAGCACTGCTGCCTCAATGCCAGGGACTCCATTCAATTCCAGCCTCGGGCAACTGTCTGTGTGGAGTTTGCACGTTCTTCCTGTGTCTGCGTGGGTTTCCTCTGGGTGCTCCAGTTTCCTCCCACAGTCCAAAGAAGTGCAGGGAAGGTAGATTGGCCATGGGAAATTGCCGCTAGTGCCCGGGGATGTTTAGGTCATGTGGGTTAGAAAAGGGGAAATCAGGGGTAGGGGAATGGGTCTGGGTGGGATGCTCTTCGGAGGGGTAGTGTGGACTTGTTGGGCCAAATGGCCTGTTTCCACACTGTAGGGATTCTATGATGAACCAATGTAAGTACTTTGTTAATCTTTGGAGAGTAAGAGATGGAGATACATGAATTTCTTTTTCGGTTGTTTCAGGGAATAACAGGTGTCGATGGTCATCCAGGTCAGAAAGGAAACTTGGTAAGGGTTCACTTTAAATTTGACTTGCATTTACTTTATGACTGCTTCGACTTTATGTTTCCACGATTTTTTAAAATTGGTTCATTCATGCTGATGTTGCTGGATGGATCAATATTTATTGCCAATCCCTAGTTGCCCTTGAGAAGGTGGGGGTGAGCTGCCTTCTTGAACCACTGCAGTCCATGTGCGGTTGACCCACAATACACTTGGGGAGGGAGTTACAGGATTTTGACCCAGCAACACTGAAGGAATGGCGATATATTTCCAAGTCAGGATGGTGAGTGGTTTGGAAGGGTGTTCCCATGTGTCTGTTGCCCTTGTCCTGGATGGAAGTGGTTGTGCGTTTAGAAGGTGCTGTCTGAGGATCTTTGGTGAATTTCTGCAGTGCTTCTTGTAGATACTATACACTGCTGCTACTGAGCATCAGTGATAGAGGGAGTGGATTTTTGTGGGTGTAGTGCCAATCAAGCGGGCTGTTTTGTCCTGGATGGTATTGAGGTTCGGTAACTCACTTGCATTGCCAATAAAACAACATTCACAAGCTGCCTGTAATTTTGAGAAAGCTGAAAAGTGGCCCAGTTTTGAGACCTTTAAAAAGAATTCAATATGGTCGAGGTGGAGAAAAGTTTTCCCCTCACAGTGGCAATCAATGTGGGGATTCATCAATATGTGATGCTCACTGATAAATATAACAACTTTTGTTATATTCAGATGGCACCTAATAACACTGGGAAACATTGCAAGGTGCTTCACAGGGTTATTTCAAGCTGAATTTGATACTGAGTCATGTAATCAACTGTTAGGACAGCTAACCTGAGGCTTGGTCAACTGGTAATCTGGGGAGAGATTTCCAGGATCCAGGTAGCTGAAAGCATGGCAACCGCTAGCAGGGATAATGAGACTCAGGATTACACAAGAGGCCGGAATGAGATGAGAGCTGAGATCTCGGAAGGTTGTACATTTGTGAAAGGTTACAGCGATGGGGACGTGATGGATTGGAAAACCAGTGGAGAATCCTGGAGAAACCTCTTTGACCAGAGACTGGAGAGAATGTAGTTATAGAGTCATATAGCATGAAAACAGACCCTTTGGTCCAACTAAACCAGTCCCACTTGCCTGCATTTGGCCCATATCCCTCCAAATCTTTCCTATTCACAAACATGTCAAAATGTCTTTTAAATGTTGTAACTGGACCTGCATCTACCACTTCCTCTGGCAGTTCATTTTGGGAGTCTGCAACATTGAGTCTGGAGCCCCATGAAGTCTCATGGTTTCAGGTTAAGCACAGGCAAGGAAACCTCCTGCTGGGTACCATCTACTGTCCTCAGAGCTGAATCAGTGCTCCTCCATGCTGAACAACACTTGAAGGAAGCACTGACTTTTCCCACTTCCCTCTCCAAATTTCAGCTGGTTTCACCAGAAAGCTCCTTCCCTGCCATTCCCTTGGAGATACAGAACAAATGGATGACCCAAAACAAGTTCCTTTGACAAAGCCTGCTCGCGAATTCCCAGGGACAGTCGGAAGCCTGCAGAAGTAAAGGCGAAACACTGTGGATGCTGAAAATCTGAGAGGAGCACAGAGAATGCTGGAAAAATGCAGCCGGTCTGACAGCATCTGTGAATGGAGAAACACAGAGGGAGGGTTAACATCTGGTATGACTTTTCTTCAGTGAGCCCTCCATTGGTATTAACTGAATGTTCAGATTCCTCTGTGTTGTCAGGTGTAGCTGAGAGACAAGTGACATATTGGTCTTCAACCTTGCTGCTCCTCTGAGACAAGGGAGCCCACTGGACCATCTGATCTGACTCCTGAGTATGTGAGGGTGGTCCCAAATTGTACCAATCCCCCCCATCGCACTGGATTAACGAATATAATTCTACAGCCAGCCACAGAGGTCAGTGTGCTCCACGGTTTTACTAATCCATCATTTCTAATGCAAAGACTTTCATAAGAAGTACTTCAGTTGAGGACAAGCTCTGTGCAGATTAAGTTTGATTTATAAGGACTTGTTAGTGAGACAGGGAAGAGACTCAACGGAGTTGCATCTTAAGCCCATTGCAGAAGACTCCTTGATGTCTTTGCCAAATCATCTCTCGACACCAATGGTGGAGGCTAAATGTTATTGAACCAACATCCTGTCAGGATCGGTGTTGGAATTCTTAAACTCATTTAATAGTGGATCAGATTACCCATAAAACAAGACTATGTTTCCCTGGGCTCCATGCTGACAGTGAAACAGCAAAGTAATGGGAATGGTATGACACGGCTTTCCTGAGTTTTTATTTTATTCAGCATTTCTTGCCCATCCCTAGTTGCCCCTTGAGAAGGTGGGGGTGAGCTGCCTTCTTGAACCGCTGCAGTCCTCCTGCTGTGGGTTGACCCATAATGCCCTTAGGGAGGGAATTCTAGGATTTTGACCCAATGACCCTGAAGTAACGGCGATATATTTCCAAATCAGGATATTACTTTGGGACACGGGCATCGCTGGCTGGGTGAGCATTTGTTGCCTATCCCTAATTGCCCCTGAGACATTGGACTGGCTCAACTGACAGCTCCTGTAGCGTTTCATGCACAGGACTGTATTGCAGTGCGTAAGAGCACACATTTTACCTTGTGGTTATGCCGTTGCACATGAATATACACTCCAGTAAAGTGAACAGGCTATAAAAAGCTCCGCACTCACCCTCCCCTCCCCTCCCAGTTAGATCATTTCACTGAAGCAGAAGAAGTTTACAATTACTTCACCAACATAGTAATCGTGCTTTTGAAATACGTTCAAGCAGTACATGTTTTAACGGCAGGTTTAAATTCATTAAAAATTATGACAAATTCCTGCAAGCTCAACAGTTTTGACAGGTGATTGAGTCAATCTCAAATATGTCAACAAATTCCCCACTTCCCATGGGACTTGGGTATCAGTTATCAATAAACTGCCTTTCAAGTCCCAACAATATCTCAAGGTAATTCGCAGGGCATGGCGAGCTTGTGAAATGCAATAAACTGTTTTACATACAGACATGGCGGCCGGTGTTCGCACAGGAAGATCCCAAAAATGACAGAGGGATACATAGACCAGGTAATCTGTGTTGGTGGTATCTCCTGTGGAATAATATTAGCTGGTATCCTGAGAGGGGGGCCCAACCTTCACACAGCACCTTTTTGGATCTTGATTCATGTCTCCTGGCCTTTCTGAAATAAACTGTTGTGAGTTGCACAGTGCAGTGCTCTTGTGACTTTGTAAGCCTTCACCAGGTCGCCTCCAAGCCTCCAAAGGGGAAACTCAGCGGCTGCTGGAAAGCAGAAATAATGGAAAATGTTGGAAAGGCTCAGCAGGTCAGGCAGCTTCAGTGGAAAGAGGAAAATAAGCTGTGGAGTGGACTTTCCCAAAAACGTCAAGAACCCAACCTCTGGTACTGGTTCTGGGATGAGACCCTCCCACCAACTTGAGGTCATTCTGCAATATTCAGCTGAATCCTGAGGGAGGCGACCAATTGCTGATTTACCTCCACAATTGCTGACCAGTTAAGGACAGCAGGGCATGTCCGGGAGGCAGAACATAGATGTGGTGGGCCAATTTCTTGAGAGAGCCTCAAATACACTCACCTCCAATGGAACTTGTACCCACCTCCAATGCAATGTACACTCATCTACAATGCACCTTACAGTCACCTCCAATGCAACTTACACTCACTTCCAATGCACCTTAAACCCACCTCCTTTGCAATTTATACCCATCTCCGATGCAACTTACATTCATCTCTGGTGCAACTCACACCCACCTCCAATGCAGCTCACACCCACCTCCAATGCAGCTCACACCCACCTCCAATGCACCTTAAACCCACCTCCTTTGCAATTTATACCCATCTCCAATGCAACTTACACTCACCACGATGCAACTTACATTCATCTCTGGTGCAACTCATACCCACCTCCAATGCAGCTCACACCCAACTCCAATGTACCTTAAACCCACTTCCAATGCAACTTACACTCAACCTCCAATGCACCTTAAACCCATCTCCAATGCAACTTACATTCACCTCCAATGCAACTTACATTCACCTCCAATGCAAAGTCTTCCTGCCAGGGTAGAGTGCTCCAGACTGACTCAGCACCTTACGTTTGGCACTTGTCTCTGAGGGCTCTGACTCCAGGGAAACAACTCCATGACAATTGAATGAGATCCTCTTTACTCATTCACGGATTAGCTGATACATCGGTGAAGGACCCCTTTCTGTGTAACCATCTCACCTTCCTGCACGAGTATTGACATACCATGGGAGTCCTGCAGTTCTCACCAAACCATGCATTTGTGGCAAAATAACTTTTGATTTTGGGATCGGTCATCTTGATGGTCGGATGTCATGTGCTAGGAGACGACTCTGGGGAATATTTCTGAGGAGGCATCAATATGTTGAGCAACCAGCACGACATTTCTAGTGCACATATCTCCAAACCTGCATCCACCTTCATGCCAAACTCTAACCCAACATCTCAGGTAAATGTCTCTTCACCAGAACTGAGGAAAAAAAATCAGAGCTGTAACAGGTTTTAATTCAATGTAAAAACAGGGGAGTGAGGTGAGAAAAAGAGGAAGGTTTTGTGAAAGGTTGGTAGACAGGAGAGATTGAACAAATGGCACAGCCTTTGCCATGACCTGCCTTCTAACAAGATGTGAGTGATAACTGTGATCTAACATTGGCAAACTCAACGCCTATCATCATTGGAACATCAGAGCAGATCAAGGACAGAGAGATCAGAGTGTGGGAGTCAAGCAGAGAGTTGGACCAAAAGAAACTGTGCTATCCCCATGGGGAATCACTAATTAATCTCCTGTGGAGCTCGATCAGCATGAATTCCCTTGGTTACTGGCAATGGCCTGCCCAGTTCGAACTCATCACCTGAGCCCTTCATTAAGCAGACCCAGAGGGCCCTCATGTGTCATGGTGATAGAGTCCCTGGGAGGCCTAGGTTCATATCCCACCTGCTCCAAAGGTGTGTAATAACATCTCTGAAAGGGCTCATTAGAAAAATAAGGTTTTTTAAAAAATTAAAGGCTATTTCAAAGCCCTTTTGTGGTGCAGTGGTAGTGTCTGTACCACTGAGCCAGGAGTCCTGAGTTCAAGTCCTACCTGTTCCAGAGCTGTGAAATGTTATCTCTGACAGGTTGATTGCAAAATGCAAAGGGATGCAGGTTAGTCCAGGGAACCTCTAAAAGAGCCCTCTTGTGGTGCAGTGGTAGTGTCCTTATCCCTGGTCTGGAGGCCTGGGTTCAAGTCCCACCTGCTCCAGAAGTGTGTGAAAACATCTCTGAACAGGTTGATTAGGAAAAATAGGGGGAGAAAAAGAGGATAAGCAGATCAAGAGGGCCCTCTTGTAGCATAGTGGTAGTGTCCCTACCCCTAGACTGAGAGGCCTGGGTTCAAATTCCACCAGTGTGTAATTACATTGCTGAGCAGGTTGTTGAGGAAAATAGGTTTTTATAAATTCTAAGAAATAAAGTGAGTGCAGGGGTGAGTCTGCAGGCTGTCCATCCTGGGCTGGGACCAGCCTTTGTAGACCACAAGTAGTAGCTCACTGTTGGCGTTCGACAATAAACAATATTCCTTTCCTGTCGGGCTTCCCGAATTATTATAATGACCAGATGTTTGGGGGCCGTGATAGCAGACTGAATGAAAAAGCAATCCCCCAAGCTGTACTTAGCCTCTGTATTGCAGTGACTATGCACTCCATGCCTGAGTTTCTGTACACTGTACAGACCCAGCTGTTTCAGCCCACTTGAGAAATGAAGGTGAGCACTTCACAGCTGTAGCCTGGATAATTAGAGATTTATCTTCTGTCTACCTTCCATCCTCAGGGTCTTCAAGGTGAACCTGGACCTCCAGGACAACAAGGCAACCCAGGACCTCAGGTGAGAAAGCACTGAAACGCTGTAAGGTTATTGAGGAGCCTCTTACCCGGAGAAAATGAAATGTTCTTCAGTCACTGCTGCAGCACTGTCAATGACATTTTGGACTCGGTTGGGTCGCAGATGTTCTTAATCGAATTAAGGGGTGAAAGACAGAACATCTTCTATTAAATCTGCCTATTAACAAATTTTCCAGAAACTATTTTTTTTAAAAATAAAGTTGGGGACTCAGTTGTCAGGGTGCAATTATAGAACCCTGATAATGCAGATAAAGGCCACTTGGCCCACTGAGCCTGCACTAACCATCTGAACAGCATCCCATCCTATCCTATCCCTGTAACCCTGCATTTCCCATGGCCAATCCACCCTAACCTGCACATCTTTGGACTGTGGGAGGAAACCCACACAGACACGGGGAGAATGTACAAACTCCACACAGACAGTTGCCTGAGGGTGGGATTGAACCCAGGCCCCTGGTGCTGTAAGGCGGCAGTGCTAACCACAGAGCCATCCTGTGCCCCTACTGCTCTGTTGTTGTGACGTGTTATAAGGTATTATTTAAATCATGTTGTTGTGACTGGGTAGTGGCCAGTTATTGAAAATCGGGGACGTGATGGAAAGTGAGAATCCGCAGGACGGACAATGACTACTGTAGTCCTTTTGCCAAATCCCAAGATCTAGCCAATTTCACATTCTTCAATAAACTCGATGCATTCCTTCTCCAGGATATGCTGATCCAATTAGACTCCTGTTGTTCTCCTTGGCAGTCCATCCCTATCCATCCATCACACTCAGTATAATCTAGTTAAATTTTAAATTCTTGCTGTTAGGTGATTCTATAATAATGAGTCATACCTCTTTAATTACCAAATTATATTGCACATCCATTGAAGGAGAGACTTCTTAAAAGGGTAATTGCACACTCTTGCTGCATTTTGAAATTCTGCGTTCCCAATATTCCTCAAGCTGCCGACTCCAGGTCTTGAATGCCATTGGGGATTGAGTCACCAAATGCATGACGGTGCTTTTAAAATTTAAAAAGCTGCCCAGACTGCTGAGTGCCTGCCACTCAGACTGGTCAAACCAGTAGGTAAGTAAGTGGAGCCCTGAGTTAGCTTCAGGTCAGATTATTAGGCTCTTAGAGGTTATTTCTGTTCCTCACGCCCCTGGGAATGCGTTGGAGCCACTACACCAAACAGGCTTCCTGAGATCAGTGTCTGTCCTCTCTTTGTGAAGCAAGTTTATCTTTTCTGCTTGCAGGGCTTTCCTGGACCTCAAGGCCCCATTGGACTTCCTGGTGAAAAGGTAAGTTCTCAAATGGCTGTAGTTTCAAAATTGCGGCTCGCCCCTTCAGGACAAAGACCGGGCAAAAGTATTTTCTGTCTCTTGGAGGGTTGTGTGATTTTGGAATTCTGTGCCTCAGGAAGGCGGGCCATTGAATATTTTGAGGATAAAGATGGACAGTTTTGTTTTGCTAGGCAGGAGAATCGAGGGTTACCCGGAGTCGATGGGAATGTGGAATTTGAAACCCAAACTGGGGTTTTCCATGATCCTGTTAAATGGCAGAGGAGGCTAGAGGGGCTGAATGGCCTACTGCTTAACTCTGTTCATACGTATGCTTTTTGCTGTGTACCTGAGTATAATGGCATTGTGATGGACCGAGCAGTAGGTAGGAGAGAAAGGACAAAGTATGACACCTTGCAGTGGTGGGACAGAAACTTTGAGATTTCCACTGGGGCTGCCCATAGTTAAAAGGCATTTGATACATTAGCACCAGGAATATTTGTAGCATTTACAATATTCTGGATGAGTATTTAAACCCTGTTTGCTTTCCTGGGGAAATGTTAAAGATCTCCTGGCACTTGCCACAAGGAAGAAGATTGGGAGCTTTTCTGAGCAACATTTATCCCTCATCCATTTTTTGCTAATAGAACAGATTATAGAGTAGCAGAGTTCTAACAGCACTGAAAAAGGCCATTTGGCCCATCATGTCTGCGCCAGTCATCAAGCATCAATCTATTCTAATCCCATTTTCCAGCACTTAGCCCATAGCCTTGTATGTTAGGGTGTTTGAGGTGCCCATCCAGATCGTTATTAACTGTCTTGAGGGCTCCTGTTGCCAACATCCTTTCAAGCAACGAGTACCAGATACTCACCACCCTCTGGGTGAAAGAAATGTTATCCTCAAATGCCTTCTAAACCTCCTGCTTCTTACCTTAAAACTGCACCCCCTACTATTGATCCATCTACTGAGGGGAAAAGTTCCTCCCTATCTATTGTCCCTCAGAACTTTGTGCACCTCAGTGTATCTGCCAATTGAGCTCATGGCTGTTTGTGGCATCTTGCTTTACACTGTTCCCATTACAATTGAGATTTATCATGCACATCCAGAATTTGAGTTCAGGTTTGTCACAGCAAACCTGCATCCAAGGTTTCACATTTTGCAGTCCATTAAACTCATTCCGATAATGTAGAAATGAATCAATGTTACTCACCACTGCACTGCTAATATGTGCTTTCATCTCTAACTGTGCACGTTCCAGTGACCAGTGTTGCAACAATTTCAGTTGCAATTGAATGAGCAGAGGGTGGGTAGGATTTGCTACATCTATATTTATCTGTTATGATGCTACACTGTTCGTCTTAATGATATGCCATTGGATCCACAGCCTCCGCACACATCCAAGCTGCATTCTGTGCTGAGAGATATTAGACGTGCTGGCTCAGAGGAGAGAGAAGGTGGCTGAGATTTTCTCTCTGTATAATGCTGTTTGATTTGGTCTGACTGACGTCTTGTTTCTTTTTTTGCAAACTTTGCAGGGTCCTCCAGGCAAGCAGGGTCTGCTGGGTCTGATTGGAGCAGATGGTCCTCCGGTGAGATATGGTGTTGACTGTCTGACGATGAGCATGCCAACCTTTCCACTATATTGAGGTTGTTGTCTGTTAGTACCTGATATTATAGGGGCTCACTCGCCAGTTTATGGACTTCACTTCAAAACAAAATCCTCTAGGTGCTGGGAACCCTAAATAAAATTGGAAAGTGCTGGAGAAATTCAGCAAATCTGGTTGCGTCTGTGCAGAGAGAAACAGAATTAATATTTTGTGTCCTGGTATGACTTTTCTTCAGAGCAAGAGCAGTCATGGACTGAAAATGTTTACTCTGTTTCTCTCTCCACGGACTGATTGAGTTTCTTCGGCACTTTCTAGTTTTACAAATGTGCTGATTGCTAAAGTTGCCTCCAGTGGCTTGGTTTTCCCCACCTTTTTCTTGTTTCTGTGTAATGGCCAGACCTGGTCATTGCTCATCTATGGGGCTTCTTGTTAAGTCTTGTCCAACTGCCGGCTTCATATAAAATCATGTTATTGATGGGGGTCACTGTCACTGTCAATTCCTGTTTGTCACAATCTTTTCTGTCTCTTCCTATCTCATGGATAACCATCATCATACCTTCATTGCAGGAGTTAACAAAAGGGCCTTTTGGAATCTGTGTGGGAAAGGAACCATTTGAATATATAAGAACTAGGAGCAGGAGTAGGCCATTCAGCCCCTCGGGCCTGCTCCGCTGTTGAATGTAATCATGTCTGATCTCATCTCGGTCTCAACTCCACTTTCCTCCCTGTTCCCCATAACCTAATCTACTTATAACAAATCAAAATTCTGCCTGTCTCCTCCTCAAATTCATTCTGTCTCCCAGCATCCACTGTACTCTGGCAGTAAATCCGTCATCCTTACCCAGTCTGGCCTAAAAATGATTCCAGACCCACAGCAATCTGATTGACTCTTAACACCCTCTGAAATGGCCAAGTAAGCCGTTCAGTTCCAGGGTAATTAGGGGTGGATAACAAATGCAGGCCTTGCCAGTGACACCCACATCGCATGAGTGATTAAACAAATAAAGAAAAAGCCTTCGGGTCCAGCAGAGATAATTGCCAAAAAAAGGACCAACATCCACCACACTGTCAGATAGTGAATTTGGCAGATTCACGACCCTTTGAGAGAAGTAGTTTCTCCTTATCTTTGTTTTAAATCTGTTGCCCCTTATCCTAAAGCTATGACCTCTCGTTCTAGATTATCCCACATGAGGAAACATCCTGTCCACATCTACTTTGCAAATCCCTTTTCACATCTTCTGTACCTCAATTAGATCTCCTCTCATTCTTCTAAACTCCAGTGAGTGTAGGTCTAAACCACGCAATCTCTCCTCATGAGGCAAGCCCTTTCATCTCTGGAATTAACCTTCTCTGAACTGCCTTCAATGCAGCTACATCCCTGCTCAAGTAAGGGGACTAGAACACTATAGAATACTCCACACGTGGTCTCACTAATGCCTTATACAACTGCACAACAACACTCCCCTACTCATACACTCTATTCCTTTAGCAATAAATGCCAAAGTTCCATTTCCCCTCCTGACTACCTGCTGTACTTCTGCGCACTGAAGTGAAGGAACCCAGCATGGAGACAATCTTTTATGCAAATGTAATAACATTGAGAGGCACTGGCAGCTGTATTGTGCTCGGCAACTGTGTTTTAACAGGACAATCACATTGCTGAACAGAGATGTTGCTGCAGCTGTGTCAGACAATTAGGTTTGAGAGGTTTTGTGGAGATCAGACATTTGAAGGAAGCTTTTTTTTGATTTTTTGATCTTACTTTTGGGTCTTAAAAGTTGGTATTTGGTTTTTGAGGTCTGTGCTTTTCATCTCATGGGAGGTGTAAACAATCATTATAGCTTTATAGACGGAGCAGTGCAATCCTTTTCTCACCAGAGTGTTCTAAAGGATGGTGCAAATTGTGAAAATAAACCTCCACGTGTTCCCTTAATGAGCAGGATCTGTTTATGTCCCTAGGATTAGTGGGGAATTACAGGAGGGACACCTGGAAATGAGGGGATTGAGGGAGGGACACCTGGAAATGAGGGTTTTGAGGGAGGGACAACAGGAAATGAGGGGATTGAGGGAGGGACACCAGTAAATGAGGGACTGAGAGGGACATCAGGAAATGTGGGGATTGAGGGAGGGAGATCAGTAAATGAGAGGATTGAGGGAGGGACACCAGGAAATGAGTGAACTGAGGGAGGGACACCAGGAAATGAGAGGATCGAGGGAGGGACAGTTGTAATTTTATTTCTTATTTTGTGGTTTGGCACATCACTGGCAAGGCCAGCATTTGTTGCCAGCTCCTTATGACCCTTGAACAGAGAGCTCGATCCAATTCAGAGGGCAGTTAAGAGTCAACCACATTGCTGTCAGTCTGGAGTCACATGTGGGCCAGACTGGGTAAGGATGCTAGATCTCCTTCTGTAAAGGACATTAGTGTCCTCAGTTGGTTTTCACAACAGTCGAAGACAGCTCCCAGGCAGTAGTACTGAGTTTAACTGTGCCTGATGAAGGGTGTAAACCCGAAACGTTGACTTTCCTGCTCCTGTGATGCTGCCTGTCCTGCTGTGTTCCTCCAGCTCCACGCTGTATTGACGGGATTTTAACCCATCTCCCCGAACACCAACCTGGACCTCTGAATTATTAATCCAGTGATGTTATCATGTCCACCATAACTGGGAAAATTGAGGAAAGGCATCAGTGATGCGGGGAGGGTGAAATTGAGGAAATAGGAAAAATCTTTAAGCTTCCTGGAGTCAAAATGCACTGTGTGCATACACATTATGCCTTGTTTGCTATTTGCACATGTTATCGATGGTGATGTTCTCCAGGAATACATGCCTGATGAGCAGTGGGACTTGACTCGATATGCTACCTTTTTGAAAGACTTAATAATAAATGGCAGAGAGGTCTCCTTTCTCTCCTTTCCAACACTTATTCCATCCATACAAAGAGCAATTGGATAGGACATACCAATTCCAGAGCACCTATAGTAACAATGGGCCAAACACCCTTGTCTTAGAGATAGTCGGAACTGCCGATGCTGGAAAATCTGAGATAACAAGGTGTAGAGCTGGATGAACACAGCAGGCCAAGCAGCATCAGAGGAGCAGGAAAGCTGATGTTTCGGGCCTAGACTCTTCATCAGAAATGGGGAGGGGAAGGGGGTTCTGAAATAAATAGGGAGAGGGGGGAGGCGGATAGAAGATGGATAAAGGAGAAGATAGTTGGAGAGGAGACAGACAGGTGAAAGAAGCGGGGATGGAGCCAGTAAAGGTGAGTGTAGGTGGGGAGGTAGGGAGGAGATAGGTCAGTCCAGGGAGGACGGACAGGTCAAGGAGGCGGGATGAGGCTAGTAGGTAGAAGATGGGCGTGGGGCTTGAGGTGGGAGGAGGGGATAGGTGGGAGGAAGGACAGGTTAGGGAGGCGGGGACGAGCTGGGCTGGTTTTGGGATGCGGTAGGGGGAGGGGAGATTTTGAAGCTTGTGAGGTCCACATTGATACCATTGGGCTGCAGGGTTCCCAAGCAGAATATGAGATGCAACCTTCGGGTAGCATCATTGCGGCACTGCAGGAGGCCCAGGATGGACATGTCGTTCAAGGAGTGGGCGTGTGAGTTGAAATGGTTCGCGACTGGGAGGTGCAGTCGTTTGTCGCAAACCAAGCGTAGGTGTTCTGCAAACCGGTCCCCAAGCCTCCGTTTGGTTTCCCCGATGTAGAGGAGGCCACAACGGGAACAGCGGACACAATAGACCACATTAGCGGATGTGCAGGTAAACATCTGTTTAATGTGGAAGGTTTTCTTGGGGCCTGGGATGGGGGTGAGGGGGGTGGTGTAGGGGCAGGTTTAGCACTTCCTGCGGTTGCAGGGAAAAGTGCTGGGGGAGGTGGGGCTGGTGGGGAGTGTGGAGCAGACAAGGGAGTCACAGAGACAGTGTCTTAGACGTTTGTCTTGGACTTGTATGTTATAATCGGCAACAAAAGCTCGCAGAGGTTTATAAAGGTCTTGTTGTAAATCTTTAGTTTAGGACAAACATCACCTTCCCTTCTTGACCCTCTGTGTTCAGAAGCCCACATGCATGAGAGAAGAACTGAGGTCCTTTTAAATAATCCCAATCACCAAATTGACAGGCACAAAAACCACCCACTGGGGTGCTGTAATGTGAAACAAAAAGGAAAATGGGAGAGACTGAGGGGAATTAAACCGAAATGTTATTGGAAGGGGAAGTAATACACTCCAATCCCTGAGGTGCCCAGCTATCCCTAAAAGCTTTGAGGGTGCCAGTGGACACTGTAATGCTCCCTCTCCAAGGACACTTGGGCAATGATGTGGCCAGAGGAGAGAGATAGCCATTGTAAAGCTCTGCTCCTACATACACAGCCCAATGAATGTTGCCTGCTCTCTTTTGTGCCTTAAGAAGATGCACGTGTCTACATCTGACAACATTAGATGCTAACTTTCTGATGTGGAAACAGAAATCAGTGGAAGGAGAACGTGCTAAAGGAGCTTCTCCAAGACAGCAGCAATTCTTAACCCAAAGCCTGGGAATGGGCTGCTTGCCAGATCTCCTGGGAGTGTGGCCAACTGGTCATGACTTACTCTGGAGTCTCCAGAGACGGAAGACTAATCCCCTGGGCAATGTTTTGAACAACACTCGCCAGGAAAACCATAAAGGGGAATTATGAGACATCTCCTGTTTAAATATTCCCTAAATAACTGAGTTTATTAATTAGGAAAAAAAATGTTGTAATTGTGCATCTGGAAGGTTGTTTAAGAGGGAGGACTGTTTGGTGGAACCTCCTGAAATACGTACAAATTGAGCTGGAAATTTTGGAACTAAGTCAAGGAATTTACTTCTTGGGGACAGGCAGATGATCATGTTAGAAGTTTCCGTTTATAGACTTTTAAAGGAGCATGAAATGCCTGTCGCCCTTGAAATGCTTTGCTAAAGCTACTGTGTTGATTTGAAGTGAAGCTGTTTAGTTAAGAATGATTTTGTTTCTTTCTCAGGGTCATCCTGGTCGTGAAGGTCCAGCAGGTGATAAGGGGAATGCGGTATGTTATTTACTGAGTGCTAGAATGATGGTGGCTGGGGGTAAATGGGTGGTGATTGTCATGTTCTGAAGTTCTGGGTTGGCTATGTGAGTCCGTTTGCTCTTGTAACGATGCTATCAGTTTAAGAGGTTACTTTGTTCTGGTTTCTTTAAAGAGCGAGATTGAATGAGAGGCACAGAGCTGCTTACTGAAGACCACTTGAGTAAACAGCTTGGGAGGCCTTGAGTTTTATTAATGCAGCCTGAATGGGTGTGGCCAGTTCTCACAGATCAGGATTTCTGAGTAGCATCTGAAGCTATTAGGGTCTCAACAGAGTTGGAAGCTTCAGTGAATGTCTGCTGGCTGCAAGCTTCTCTGAATTTTCTTTTGTTTATTTTTCCTCCTGGATTGGAGAACTGCATGTGAGAATCTGTGTCTGAATTTTCCTTTTTGTGATGGGGTGTGTTTATGGGATGTTATTATATCACAATAGTTAATTAGTAACAGTTACTGTATCTATTATTCTGTTAAGTTTTCCAATAGAGTTACATTATTCTAAATTCCTCTTTTTTTTCGTTGTATTTTAACTACAGTGTTTAAATAAATTGTGTTTTGTTTGACATTGAGTAACAGCCAGTCACATTGCATCTGGAACACAGCACTGTACATTTGCCTTTAAAATAAGAAAAAGTTAGGGTCTGGCCACCTTCTTAAAATATTTTGAGGGGGGTATGGCCTGGCCCATAACACTCTTGATGCTCCCAATACTTGATTGGTTAAGTTTGTGCTTGATGGTTAAGCTTAAGTGTGGAGACAGCTGAAACCACAAGCCTCTGTGTCTTAAATAAATCGAAAATAAGCAACAAATAGGGGATGTGATGTGTCCAAGTGAGGTGCATGATGGTCCCTTTGTTTTCCCCAAATCTGGCCAATAAGGAAGGATACCAGCATGTATAGTCTGTGTCATTGATCAGGTTAATGTGTGCTCCAGTGAGGTCTTCAGGTTTGAATGCAGTTTTCAATGACAAGCTTTACCCCCAATCAGGTGGGTTTCGGCCTTCAACTCCTCTCACAAATTATGATGCACAGTCACGTGTGAAACCATCATGGTCACATTAGCCTGCAATGTTGCAGATTGCAGTGGTCTGGATTTACGTGCTGTGACAGTGAGCTGATGAACCGAAATGTTTATTACTTTCATTTGGACAGATTACCCTACCTTCCCAGTTACAATTGCCAGTGTTTTCCTTCTGCCTGTCTTCTTCCCTTAAGGTTCTTGAACAGAACTTTCAGCAGCTTCGGAATAGAGTTAGTTATTGTATCTCCTGATGCCACCACTTCCCTGTAGATGCTGGCTCTCTGGGTTAAATAGCGCAGTTTCTGTTAGAACCCAGTCGTGGGTTAGTGCCTTGCTCAGCTTGACTGAGAGGTGGGCTTCTAGCCTGTTGTTGGAAAGAACACAACTGCATTTATATAGCATCTTTCTCAACATGAGGACACCCCCAAAGTGCTTTGTTGCCGATGAAATACTTCTCAAAGCATGATCGCTGTAGAAGGAAACGCGCCAGCCAAGTTGTGCAGAGCAAGCTCCCACGGCCAGCAGTGACATAATGACCAATGGTGTTGGTTGAGGGGTAAATGTCACTCTCCCGTTCTCTTTGCAAGTAATTTTCATGGGATCCTGCATGCTTTGCTGGGGTGGGGGGGAATGTTTGATATCTCGTCCAGAATGGTACTCTGGATTTGTAGCGCAGTCCTGCCCTTGAGGGGTGTGGGGGTACCAGCCTTATGTTGGATGCTCAGATCACTGGGATGGAGCTGGAACCCCATCCCGATGCTCTGACTCTGAGACAAGGGCCAGGATAAGGATTGTTTCTGCAGTGCCCGAGCATGTGCTGGACTTGCCTCTGCTGCTGTTTGAGACTTGCTGCAGCTGCAGTCTTCCTCAGGACTCCCTGTCCTGCCCACTCAGTATTTCACACGCATTGGGCTGTGCGGCTACACTTTGTTCCCATGCTGTGAGCGGGTTCTCCAAGTCCCAGCTGTTATGGGCAGATGTGGAGAGCTGTGTTCCTGGCCGTGGGGAGAATCGGAAGGAAGGAGTATTCCTCATGGCAGCCGCTTAAGGAAATACTGTGCCTCGATACAGCCCTTGGTATCTCACTGTCCCTTAGCATCATGCACTCCGTAATCCCGCACTCAGCCTCTATCCAGTGACTCCTGCTGGAAAAAGCAGCAAATTTCAGGCACGGACAGTATAAGGTCTTTACTGCATTGCCCAACACTGTCAAATAGCCTGTCTACGCTTGGCTGCTGGTTATAATGTCCTTTGCAGAATTGCTGACTGTGGAATGAGCTCAGCCTGAATTCTGGAGAAGGCGTGTATTGTAAACTTAAAGATTGTAAGTGATGCAGAAGTTCTGAGTTGCCTGTTATTGCATTAGGGTAACGGTTTAACTCTCAGTCTTCCCCTTAATCCAACTGACTCTAGTGTTCTGCTACAGGAAAGAATGTTCCTGTTTATTTTTTCTCTTAAAATGCAATTGTCTGTTCACTGTAAATGTCATCAAAAATGTTTTTTTTTAACAGGGCCCTCCTGGTGCACAGGGTCCAGTTGGATATCCTGGGGTCAGAGGTGTCAAGGTAAGAACATCGCAAAATGTATGAAAAGTTTGCAATGGATATGAGCATGCAATCTATGATTGATTTTGTGTGTGTGTGTGTACGTGTGTGTGTGTGTATGTGTATGTGTTAACACCACATTATTATACAACCCTACAACCATACCCCATATTTTGTAGATAGACTCAACACTGTTAAGATTTTGACCCAGCGATGCTGAAAGTATGGCAAAATATTTCCAACTCTGCATTGTGGTGGCTTGCAGGTGGTAGTGTTCCTGCTATGGATCTTTGGTGAATTTCTGCAGTGCATCTTGTAGATAGTACACACTGCTGCTACTGAGCTTCTGTGGTGGAGGGGAGTGGATGCTTGTAGATGTGGTGCCAATCAAGCAGGCTGCTTTGTCCTGGATGGTCATAGAGTCATATAGCACGGAAACAGACCCTTCGGTCCAACCAATCCATGCCGAACATAATCTCAAACTAAAGCAGCTCTACCTCTCTCCTCCTGGCCCATATCCCTCCAAACTTCCCCTATTCATGTGCTTATCCAAATATCTTTTAAACATTGTAATTGTACCCACATTCACCACTTCCTCAGGAGGTTTATTTCCACACGTAAACCACCCTCTTTATAAAAAAAAATACCTCTCATGTCTTTTTTAAATCTCTCTCCACTCGACTTAAAAATGTGTCCCCTAGTCTTGAAATCCCCTATCCTAGAGAAAAGACACCTACCATTAACCCTATCTATACCCCTCATAATTTAATAAACTTCTATAAGGTTACCTCTCAACCTCCTGCGCTCCAGTGAAAATAGTCCCAGCCTCCCCAGGCTTAATTTATAACTCAAACCTTCCAGACCTGGCAACGTCCTAGTAAATCGCTTCTGAACAGTCTCCAGCTCAATAATATTCTTCGTATAACTGGGCGACCAGAACTGGACATTGTATTCCAGAAGAGGCCTCACCAATGTCATGTGCAACCTCCACATGACTTCCCAACTCCTATACTTAAAGATCTGAGCAATGAAAGCAAGATGGTGTTAAGCTTCTTAAGTGTTGTTGGGGCTGCACCCTTCCAGACAAGTGCTGCTAATGTGATTTTTCTGATGATTCAGCGCAGACGTTTGTGTGTCTGTCTGTTCAGTTGTGTGCTCTGTGTGTGTGTGTGTGTGTCTGTTTGTTGGTGTGTCTGTGTGTGTGTCTTCGTGGGTGTGTGTGTCAGTGTTAGGGACTCACAGATCGGAACAAAATAAATTGGACAAAGTTGTATGTGTCAGGTAATACAGTTTATTAAAACATCCATTGTAATATGTGGCACTGAGTGTTCATTAATTTAATGTAATAGGTTTCTGTCTGAAAAATGTATCTGACACCTTCAAAGGAAACTCTGTTTCCAATTTGCTAAATGTTTAGTTCCTAGGCTCTGATTGGATGTAGCAGAGAAACACATTTGCGATGATATAGAACACCGTACACACAATCCCAAACAGACAGACACGCACACACACACACACACACACACGCGCACACAGACACACACACTCTCACACACACACTCACTCACACACACACACAGACACGCACAGATACAGATACACAAACACACACACACTCACTCACAGTCACACTCACACTCACACAAACACACACACACACACACACCTGAGAAACCACTGACTGGGATTTAATGCAGGCACCTGTCCTGTTTGATGCTTCTCTAACCTGCATTCCCCTCTCTTGGCAGGGTGCTGATGGAGTCAGAGGACTGAAGGGACACAAAGGGGAGAAGGTGAGGAAAAATCCACTGAAATAAAAGCATAACACTGCAGATGCTAGACACCTGAAACAAAAACAGAAATGCTGGAGAGACTCAGCAAGACTGGCAGCCTCTGAGGAGGGAGAAGCAGAATTAACACTTCAACTCCGATGTAACCCTTCCGAGTTTCTCCAGCATTCTGTTTTTATTTGAGGAAAGCCCCACATTTTGTAACTTGTAGCTGAAGCTGCCTACCCTCCAGACTTGCCCTAGAGTCTCCAATCATTCTCCGCAGCACCATTGGGAACAATGACAAAAAACACAGATGGCTGGAAAATCTTTTGTGCCTATTTTTCATTGTTTGTTTCAATTTCTCGGACGTTTTTTAATTTGTTAGTTACAAAGCTGAGACATGTTATAGAATCATGTCATCTTTCACTCACTGGGACAATGGTCGTCACTTGCTAACCAGTCAGCACTCTCCTCTCTGACAGTACCAATGGTGGTTTTCCCCTTGATTTGGTATTCTTGCAATTTATCCTGATGAGTGCAAGATGAGAAGCTTCAACAAAATGTGTTTTCTCAGCGATACTCAAGTTCTGTTCTCCCAAGCGACTTAGATATAAAGGTATTGGAGACTGGGGTGAGAATAGAGACTGTATATAATGAAGCCTCCAGGAACTCATCCATTCAGGGATAAGTGATGGCCTAGTGGTATTATCGCTGGACTGTTAATCCAAAGACCCATGAAATGTTTTGGGGATCCAGGTTTGATTCCTGCTATGGCAGATGGTAGAATTTAAATTCAATAAAAATCTGGAAATAACAGTCTAGTGAAACCATTGCTAACTGCTTTGAAAAACGCATCTGGATTCACTAATGTCCTTTAGGGAAGAAAACTACCATCCTTACCTGATCTGACTCCATGTGACTCCAGACCCACAGCAATGTGGTTGACACTTAATTGCCCTCTGGGCAATAAATACTGGGCTAGCCAGCGATGCCCTCATTTCGTGAATGAACTAAAAAAAAATTGGGGTTGCTAAGTATGTTCCACCCTGCATTTCTACTTTGGGAAGTGTAAAGACGCTGCCATTGGAGTGTCTTCACTGTCTCTGAGTCAGGAGCATATCGAAGGTATGGAGAGGCAGCTTGTGAGGGTGGCTTCCTGGTTTTCCCTTGGGCTCAGATGGTGCATGAAAGAATCCAGGCCACAGCCTGTAGAGAATCCATCTTGTAGTGCATCATCTCCCCTTGCTCAAGCAAGGATAAACCACTTCAAAAAGTAGTTTACTGACCTCTTTGCTGCCTTAATATGTTAGATTCCCTGTTTTTTCATGTTTTGAGTGTGAAGCTGAAGACATTGCTCATTCGTCTAATCATCGATGTTTGAATTTTGTGTTTTATTAAAGGGAGAAGATGGATTCCCTGGTTACAAAGGTGACATGGGACCCAAAGGGGACAGGGTAAGTTGTATGTGTGCGTTGTTGGGTTAGCCAGCTAGAATCTAACAATGACCTGCTCAGCATGGCCTCTGTACGGCTTTACAAGCCTTTACTCTCTTTTGGACAGTCTCCTTCACAATCTTCTCACACATTGGTTCTCGTGGATTGACTTTACTAGTATAGTGTGTGTGTTTGGTGTTGCGTGTCTGTCTCTTTCTTTCTCTCTATCTATCTCTCCTTCTCTCATTCTGCCTCATTCTCTTTCTCTTCCTCTCTCTCTCACTCTCTGCCTGTCTCCTTTTCTCTCTCTCTCTCTCCATCTTTGTCTTTGTCTCTTTCTCTTTCTCTCTCTCTCTCTCTCTCCAACTTTGTCTCTGTCTCTTTCTCTTTCTCTCTCTCTCTCACCATCTCCATCTCTCTCCCTGCACCTTCCCTCTCTTCCTTTCTCTCTCTCTCTCTTTCTTTGTCCATCTCTCCTTAATCTGTCCCTAGAGTGACTGATTCAGACTAGGTTTTCTCTCTCTCAATCTCTCTCCCTCTCTCACACACACTCTCTCACTACATCTGGTGGTGGGAATCAGTGCCTGTGATATCTTACAGCCTCTGTGAAGCTGAATTGTATCAGGCACCTGCTTACAGGATCTGACAGAAGGGGGCCACTCTGTCCATTGTGCCTGAACTAACCCTTTGCAAAAGAGTGATCCAATTGGCCCCATGACCAAATGAATTGTCAGCTGCAGGCTAAATCCCGTGTTGGGGGGATATTTTCATCATTTTCAATGACTAATCTTCCTCTTCACAACAACAGATGAAGCTTGGTGCAGACTGTCACACTCGTCACGAGAGGATTATGAAGAAAGCTGAGCATTTTGAAAACAGTTAAACTTTGCGTCCTCCATTGAGGGACAAGCTGATCTTGCCTAATGCCTTGCTGATTCCTCATTGGCCTCAAAGTATTTTGCAGTCATTACATTGCTCTGTAGTGCCAAATGTTTCACTGGACACAGTGTCTAGCCTTGTGCTTCACTTCTTACCTCCCACACTGGCGGGGGCTATCGCCTGGTAGTATTATCGCTGGACTGTTAATCCAGAGACCCAGGTAATGTTCTGGGGACCCAGGTTCAAATCCTGCCACAGCAGATGGTGAAATTTGAATTCAGTAAATATCTGGAATTAAAAATTCAATGATGACCGTGAATCCATTGCTAATTTTCGGAAAAGCCCATCTGCTTCACGAATGACTTATAGGGAAGGAAGCTGCCATCCTTACCTGGTCTGGCCTGCACGTGACTCTAGACCCACAGCAGTGCAGTTGACTCTTAACTGCCCTCTGGGCAATTAGGGATGGGCAATAAATGCTGCCTGGCCAGTGATGCCCTCATCCTGTGATTGAATAATGGGAAAAAAAAACTTCCAGTCAATCACACACCTTGTGAGTCCTTCAGAACATGTCCACAGTCTGTCTTGTCTTCCATATTCCGTGGCCCTATGTGACCTGACCACCTCCCCCCTACCTTACCATTATTATTCAGGCTCGACCAATCCATTTTCAGTACATGATTCCATGGATGAAGAGACCATTTTAGGAAGACAGCCTGGGTCTGTCCCCATTGGATCTTAGAAGAATGAGAGAAGATTTTAGAGTCATAGAGCACAGAAACAGATCCTTCGGCCCAAACAGTCCATGCCAACCGTAATCCCAAACTAAACTAGTTCCACCTGCCTGCATTTGACCCATATCCCTCCAAACATTTCTTATTCATGTACTTATCTAAATGTCTTATAAACATTGTAACTGAACCGGCATACACCACCTCCTCTGGCAGTTCATTCCACATGTGAGCCACTCTTGTGTTTTTTTTTCCCAACTCCTATACTCAAAGGTCTGGGCAATGAAGGCAAGTGTACTAAATGCCTTCTTAACCACCTTATGTGTGATGCAAACTTCAAAGAATTATGAATCTGTACTCCTAGGTCTCTCTGTTCTACAACACTTCCTAAGGCCCTTTTTTTAAAATTATATAAGTCCAAACCTTGTTTGTTTTTCCAAAATGCAATACCTTGCATTTATCCAAATTAAACTTTAACCCTTCACGTCAAATTCCCCACCGATTATCTTTCTCTCTTTTTCTCTCTGCCTGTAATGACAGAGCAGCCCTATGATCTGGGAGGACAACGGATAAATAGTTCTTATTTCCTCTTAGAAAGTGGTTAATCTTTGAAATTATCTTCCCTATGGAGGCTTGGACATTGAATATATTCAGAGTGAAAGCAGTAGAGGAACACGTGGGAAGGTAGAATAAAGGGTACAATCAGATCAGCTGTGATTTGAATGGCGTGGTGGCTTAGTGGTTGGCACTGATGCCTCACAGTGCCAGGAACCTGAGCTTGATTTCATGTTCAGGCAACTGTGTGGAGTTTGCACATTCTCCCCGTGCCTGTGAGCGTTTCCTCCCGCAGTCCAACAACATTCAGGTTAGGTGGATTGGCCATGCTAAATTGCCCATAGTATCTAAGGATGTGTAGGTTAGGTGGATTGGGCATGGGAAATGCAGGGTTACAGGGATAGGGTGGGTCTGGGTGTGGTCTCAATGGGCTGAATGGCCTGTATCCACACTGTAGGAATTATGGTTCAATGGGTGTAGGCCAGCATTTATTGCCCATCCCTAATTGCTCTAGAGAAAGTGGTGACGAGCTGCCTTCTTGAATCCTTGGGGAGCAGGGACACCCACAGTGCCATTAGGTAGGGAATCACAGGATTTTGACACAGTGACACTGATGGAATGGCAATGGATTTCCAAGTCAGGATGGTGATTGGCTTAGAGGGGAACTTGTAGAGGGTAGTGTTCCTGTGCATCCGCTGCCCTTGTCCTTCTAGATGGAAGAGCTGGTTGGTTTGCTCTGTCTTTCGGTGGTAAGTGGAGTTTCATTTTATGTTAGCATTTCAATCACATCAACCGTTCATTGAGATTTAGAGTCATACAGAATGGAAACAGACCCTTCAGTCCAACTCATCCATGCCAACCATCCATCCCAATCTGACCTAGTCCCATTTACCAGTGTTTGGCCCATGTCCCTCTAAACCCTTCCTATTCATGTACCCATCCAGATACCTTTTAAATGTTGTAATTGTACCAGCCTCCACCACTTCCCCTGGCAGCTCATTCCATACATGCACCACCCTCTGCGTGAAAAAGTTGCCCCTTAGATCCCTTTTAAATCTTTCCCCCCTCACCTTAAACCAATGCCCCCTAGTTTTGGACTCCCCTACCCCGGGGAAAAGACCTTGGCTATTCACCCTGTCCATCTTTATTGGTGGGGCACAATCCATCCATTGCTCACTCCTCTGTCAGCTGTGACTCAGTCTGTCTATCTGTCGTCTTCCACCCCAGAGACTTGGCTGTGAAACATTCCACACAGACAGCTGCAGGCCAGTGCTGAGGGAGTGCTGCATGGTCAAATGACATACTGCACTGAAACCCCGGTCCTATGTCTCAGGATGTGAACATGTCCATGGCGTTACCTCGAAGAAGAGTGAAATAACTCTATAGAACTCACTGTGCCGTCACCAAGTTACCCTTTATTTACACTTGAACAGTCCTTGACTTTGGTGCTGCCTCATTTAGAGCCAGCTCTCAGAGTGAGCAGAACCTCTGACCCTCCTGTTTATATCTGACAGCTGGGGCTCTCTGATTGGACCAGGTTAACAGCCCCAGTCAGGGAACTCATACTCAATGAGGCCCCGTTGGCTGACCTCGTTGCAGCTACAACAAAGAGTGATTGCTATATAAACGTAACTTTGAATTTACCGAAGAAAAGTTCAGCGAGCGTGGAAACAAACAGAGTTAGCATTTCATTCGATGGCCCATCATCTGAATTGATCACCCCCAAGTTTCTGTTTTTTGGGAGCTTGCTGTGCACAAATTAGCTGCTTTTTTTCCCAGGTTGCAGCAGTGACGACTCTCTGAAGGTGCTTCGTTGTCTGTGAGGGGATTATGGAGGTGTTCTGTGGCCATGAAGGGTGCTACAGAAATGCACACCTGGCTTACTTTGAACCAACAGGGGAGCAGCCGTGTGGCTGCAGAAGGGATATGCCGCCCCCTTGTGGAGAACATTCAGCTCAGCAGCCGGTTCAAGGCCCTGGTGGTCGATAGCAATGTAACCGTGCTGATTTAACAAGGTGTAGAGCTGGATGAACACAGCAGGCCAAGC